GGGGGAGGACAGACCTGCAGGCTGCATATAAGTGATCTTGGCGACATCGCCAAGATCACTTGTAAAGGAACGAGCGGCTTCCCCTCTCTACATTTAGCTCTGCTTGCCCAAAGCAAAGCTAAATGTAGAAAACAACTTATCACCCGGCACCCGGACATTGGGAGATTCTACACCCCTGCCGCCCCTCTGCTCCCTGCCGCCCCTCTGCCTCGATGACCTTGTGGGATATCCGGCCCTGGATGTGATGAAAATGGAAACAGTTTATTTTAACATTTCATTAACATGTTCATAAGGGGGATATAAGCTGTCTAAACTTCAGCTTTGACATGAAACAATGTATCTCATAAAAAAGAAATATATAAAATAAATGTACAATCCCTTTAAGGTTTGGTAGGACAGATGTGGGAGACAGACTTGTTGAACTGGAATAACCGGAATAACATGGTGGGCTAGTTGGAGTGAGCGAAGTTCAGTTTGTATTGTCAGTGAGCCGGGTAATCCTGAGCTAATAAATTACAGATGTAACTCAGATTCTCCTTTCACTTTCAATATTCCCAGAATAGAGCCGCCCTCATGCGTGGCACAGCCGGGCTTCCGGGTCTGTAATTTACAGCTCAGTGTCAGCAACCCTCACCTCCTGCGCATGCGCCAAGTACCGTCCTCCGTACTGTTCGGAGAACACTTACGCGAATGCGCATACTGCGGAACACGCGCCAAATGGCACACCGAAAGTGACGCGTTTAATCAGGTTACTTCCCTATTTAAAGCCGGCCCGCACACCTACAAATTGGTGGATTGTCTTCAGCCCTCCTGTGTCCCTGTGTCCTGCGACTTCCTGTCCTTGCGAACTACCTGTCTCCTGGAATTGACCCCAATATTGCCTTTGACTACTCTTGCCTGCAGCCTGCCCCCGACCTTGCATTGATTACTGGACTTGCCTCTGCCTCATCCTTTTGTACCGTCTATGTCCTGTTGGTTTGACCTCGGCTTGATTGACCCTGAATTCAGGATTGTCCCAGTTCTGCTACAGAACCAACCTTCAACTTGCACAGTCACGCGTGCCACTCGTTGTCTGCCAGGTCTCTGACTCCTCCTCCAGAGTCCTCAGGACATGAGGTACAAGGGAAGCCTCCTCCCACAGTCAGTTTCCAACCAGGTACGTGACACTCAGGCTGAACATAATCCTAATGGGAGAGGTGACAGGGCAGCACAGCCCCGATCCCCCTCAAGGTAACATGGACAGCAAGGCATGGAGGAATGGGCACCCTAACCCTACAGAACAAGACAGACAATGAGCAAAGTCTGAAGGATCGGGGTGGAAAGGATCCATTCCTGTATAGCAAGCCTTCCATCTGGTCTTCAAGGACCACTAACCGTCCATGTTTTCCAGACCTCCAGACAATGGCCCAACCGGTCACATGATTGCAATTTAAAAGTATCGAGCAAAGGACAAGATCAGAAAAGTGATAAACTGTTGAAGAATATCTAAAGCCAAAAGTTTTCTTTTCTCATTTTCGATAGAGCAGGTGGGGGTGACCTTTTAGCTGGGAGGAGTCACGAATATAATTTCCTGAGATCTTGGTTCCATCTGGTGGCCATAAAATGGTATTATCATCATATACTCGATTATGGAAGAGTTAAATTTGACCTGGAGAGAAAATAGTTTAATAACATTCGATCTTTTCACCATTCGCACAGAACTCAGCAGAGTAAAGTTTCATACACCTTCCATTAATCCGACTGCAATGAAGTTACCTTCCTAAAAGTGGTTACCGTATTTTTCCTTCTATAAGACGCCCCTATGCATAAGATGCCCCCAACTTTTCTTACCCAAAATTCAGAAATCAATATTTTAAATGATATTATGCATCACACTTACCTCTGAGCCAATCACTTTATTCAGCCTCTGTTGCATCACTGATTTCTTCATCACTTTTAGCTTCAAACATATCAGTTTCTTCAACTTCTGCTGCATCACTGCTGTCTGCTGAGTCACTGGGGCTGATTTACTAACCTTATAAACACACCACGAACATGTATACACCTCTGCAGTGTGTTCCTTCCCAGCATGATCTATAGGTGGAATCTAGACACCTTTGTAGTGTGTACACACCCAGCAGGTGTGTTGTGCAAAGCCCTGCCCTGAATTGCAAGGTGATGTTGTGTAAATTAGCTCTACATTGTGTTGCTTGCGTTGATGAATGCAGGAATGTAAATGCATGAGCTAACCATTTTTGTCTAAACTGTGAAGCAGCATTATATATGCATCATGTGCATGATTTTTCCATATATGGCATTAGTGGAAATATGCTTTTAGAGACTTTTTGGTTGATAAATACGCTTTGCTGTGTAAAAATCACACACACCTGGTGCGTGCGTGTGTTTAGGTTAGTAAATCACCCCCACTGTCTCTATATACAAGATCATCCTCAGTTCCGTCCATGGCTTTGCTGATTCCACATTTCTTGAAGGACTTCACAATCACCTCTTGTTTGACACCATACCATGAGTTTAGAGAGTTTACAGGTTGTTTTTCACTTTCTGACATTTTTATGGTCACAGAATGCTCCGACATTACCGCTCTGGGCACTGCCTACACGATCTCCCCAGCAACAGCTCACGTCAGGTTCAAAAGATTTATGACTGGAGGAGAACTGTTATCTTGTCTCTGCAATCCGTGAGGCTAGTTTGCAGTGGTATCAGCACTTTCAAAACCGCGACCCCCGTGTATAAGACGCACGTCTATTTTTTAGATAAAGATTTTTATGAAAAAGTAGCGTCTTATACACGGAAAAATACGGTACATTGATTGAGAAGAAGATACAACTCAGGCACCCAACATGTCATCAGGAGTGTTTCCACTGGGCATTATAAAACACTGTAGCACACCTACAACCCTTCAGACCTCCTGATTGGGTGGGGTTGCTCTGCACCAACCTGGCCATGGAAGATAATCATTTGAGTGAGGCACTTGACAGACGTTTTCACAACGTGGACAGTATCGGTACTTAAAGTAGAACTCAAGCCAACACTTTTTTAGTTTGGATATTGTAAACACAATCATATGGAGGTATCACAGAATGTCATAAAGGGGGGTATGTCATTGTTTAAGTAACAGACAAAGAAATACAAAGAATACCACTGATGAAAATCACAGGCAGCCAGATACGTCTTTATTAGCTATGTTATATATGCTGGGTTATGTGTGGTGCATTGAATACATTGCCTATGATGGCCCCAAACCCTTCACCTTCAGTTCTAATCCAACCAAGGACGAGTGTAGGTGTGCAGGCACATTTCTTCCACACACCAACATCCTCAGCCACTCGTAGCTCCATTCTGCCAGCTAGTGAGGTGGATGGGGCAGGCCAGGTGTAATCTACAGACTAGTGAGCTGTCAATTACAGCCAATGGTAGCATGTGCCAGTGTAAAAAGGCATTGTATGCCCGCCTGGAAATGCAGTCCTTAGTCCCAGATCACATCAGGGTCTTCAGTCCCTCCTTTACATCAGATTACTGAGTCCCATCTTTACCATCACATCAGGAGCTGTCGTTGTGGCAGAATGGCAGAGAGTGGGAGGTGGAGCAGGCCTTGGATGGAAT